TTTTTTTTTTTTTAACTGTCATCCACCTAGGCTTGAATAACATTCCAATCTGTACTGTGAAGGATGATGAGACCACACTCAGGACGTTGCAGCAAGGTGGCCAGCTCAGCCACCTGGAGAAGAATGGCACCCCACCTGCAAAAGGCAGCTACCGACCCAGCCCCGTGGCCCCAGAGAGCCCTGTCCGAGCAGTGTCACCAGCCCCACACAGTGTCAAGATGCCCCCACGGCCACACTCTGGTGAGTCCCTCTCAGCCAATGGAACATCTTCTTAGCCTGCTACAAGTTACCAGAGGGGGGAATCTGTAAAATTACTAAAATCGATGTGGTGATTTTTAAGCAGTCATGAGATTGTCTCACCATAAACTAGTTCGTTCATTCTAAAAGTTTTTACTTGTCTAATCTTAGTTCACTAGTCCAGTCATGATAGTAGCCATTGTTACTGTTCTCACTGTGTCCAAAATGCACATGGTGTGGTTGTAGTCCCTGTTTCCTACAGAAGTGGCTAAGAGATGCCACATATGAATGCTTCACCAGCCCCAGGGGAGAAACTACGTCAGTCAAAAAGCCAGTCCAGGAGAAAAAACGCAGGAATTTCATGTTTTCACCTTCCCCAAGGGATCCTCAGCTCCTTGGTCTCTATTCAGGCCCCAGATAATTAATGCTGGTTGAAATTGATAAACTTTATCTAAAGTAAAATGTGCCAAAATCCAAAGGACAACGTAAAATAGAAGAAAGGAATTCTGCATGGTGAAAATTATAGCCAGTTGTCTTTCTCCTCTCATATATAATTACATGCTATTACAAAACCTTTCAGGGCATTTAAAATTTTTTTTAGAATGTAAAGTGTATGTCTGCCTAAAGATAGAGTAATCATTTGCGAAATACTTATCTTGTGCCATATTCTTCTAAGGTCTTCACACTTGTTAACTCATCTTATCCTTTCTGGGAGTTCCTCCTGCCCTTCCTCTGGTAATGAAGAGTTGAAACCCCCTAGTTCCATCTTTCTGAGATTCCTTCTTACCCCATAGAGAGTGAAAAATTACATTTCTGAGCCAGAATTGCTTCATGAGATGTGTTCCTCACCACCCAGTGAGATGCATGGCACTTGCGGGATTGCAGTCACCTTTTTAGATCTTTTCTATTATCAAGCTTAACTAGAAACACTGGGTTTTGCTTCTATAGCATCCCCATGCGCAGCTTCTGAATTTTGGGGCTCAGTGGGCAGTCTGCAGACACCATGGCTTTCTGATTGCCGCAGTGTGCCAGTGCCTACCCTCAGCCTAGTGGATATGGCGTGGCACTTTCTCTGACTGTGGTGAAGGCTGTGCCTGCCAGGTCCAAAGTGTGGCTCTTAGTGTGATCTGTGAGATCAAGACCAGTCCTTGTAGCACTGTGACAATCTCTTAATCCTCCCTATTACTTATGCACTTGCTGAAATCGAGCAGCCTCTACTTTCCACAACTGAACACTGCCCTTATATACTTACCACTCAGAACTATGTTTTCATTACTTGGAGGGAGGTGCCTTTCACTTTATTTTCCTATATTTTTTAAGGTAGAAGTAATGGATCTAGTTACTATTGAGAATATACTCAGAATATTTTCATCGTTTTAAAAATTGTGTTAACTATGATTTTGGTAAAAAGATAGCATCACTTATATAGAATACACCTTTGAATTAATGTGAAGGATGCCAGGGGTGGCAAATGCCTGTAATTCCAGTACTTGAGAAGCTGAGGCAGAAAGATTGCTGCAAGTTCAAGGACAGCCTTGGCTACATCATGAGTTCAAGATTAGCCTGGACTACATAGTGAGACCTTTCTCAATCACCCTCCAAATTAATATAAAGGAAAACTAAACAAATCTTTGAATCATTTTAGGATACTTTAAGGGGGATTAGTCAGATGACCAAGTAAAGAAAGGTTGAGAGGCTGATAAAATAAGAAAGAAAATAAAGAATATATTATAACAGCACAAAACTATCTTCAGGGCAGAAAACACTTATCAACTGTTTTAATTAGAGAAATGACAGGCATGAGGACATGAAACAGATGAAAACATGTCTTACAGTGAGATGTGTACTCTTAAATTACTCTTACTAGATCAAGAAAGCACTTGCAGTGTGTCTTTATATTATCATTTGGGGAATATTTTTTTAAATAAATGTACTTTTATTTTATTGTGTGATTGTAATGGAATTCTGTCTTTAAGATTCCTAATATTTATAAACACATCCCAGAGTTAATTTTAATTTAAATTCAGATATACTCCTATGTATTTCAGCAACTGACATACATATCATGTAACAGAAATTATTTTTCAGCTCAATTTAAATATGTTTCCATAATCAAAGTCTTTGTAAATAGGGAAGGGTGAAGGGGGTGAAGGGAGGGCAGAGGTATGGGGAAAAAACAAGAACCAAGATACATCATCTAAAGGTACAAGATCCCAATGATAAATGTTACTGTATCATTTGCCTTAAATGTACCAATAACCTTAATGAAAAAATTATGTTTCCATAATTTCATTTCAGAGCCCAGTAGAAAATTCACCGAGTGCTTCAAAACTTCCAGTGACAATCCCTTCCTAATAAAAACGGTAAAAAAAATTAGCTATTTATGCCCACTTAGTTTGACTTCTATCATTTCCTTTCTCTTTGCATAGCTTCTTGAAAAGTCAGCATATTTCACAGTATTTTTAGTTTTAGTAAGATGTAATTAATATGACATTAAAATGCACACATTCAGAATTAACAATTTGATGAGTTTTGAGAAACACACACACACACACACACATACATTCAGCTGAGAAACTGTCCCCAAAATCATGATCACCTGTGTCTCTGCAGTGTGGATCAAGGTACCAGCACAACCAGGAGGCCTGAGTGCATGGGAGGGTGTGGAGGTGGCTTTCACTGGTCTGCTTCAACGAAGGCCTGGGGCACTGGAGGTGGAGGAGGTGGAGGAGCAGAGAACTTCCCACCAGCTGGGTGGTTCTCACCTGTCTGCTCTGATATTTTTAATTTTAGACAATGTAGTGAGTATATAGTGGTATTTTATTGTTTTCTATTTTTAATACCTAATGAGGTTCGAATCTTTCATTTTCTTGCCATCCATATGTCTTTTTATGGAAAGCAGATGTTCAAATCATTTGCCTATTTTTGAAATTGGTTTATTGCCCTTTTGTTATGATGGTTTTTTTTTTAATACATTCTAGGTACAAATCTTTTGCCACATCATACATGCATGGTTTGCAAATGTTGTATTTGTTTTTCTTTTTTCTGGTATCAGTGCCTGCTAAAAAATTATGTTTGATCAGGCCCAATTTTATAAGCTTTTCTGTTACACTTTCAAATCTGTATGTTGCTTACCTCTATCATACTTTATTGTGATGGATAAACCTCTAACACAATATTGATCAGAAGTGGTGAGAGCAGACATTCTTGCCTTGTACATGGTCATAAAGGAAAACATTCAGACTTTCACCATTACATATACTATTAGTTGACTTTATTTTTTTTCTCATCGAGTTTATTGGTACTTTTTAGGTATATAATACAGTTACATTCATCATTGGGTCCTTGTACTTTTACATGATGTATCTTGGTTCTTATTTTTTTCCCCATATCCCTGCCCTCCCTTCACCCCCCTGCCTTCCCTATTTACAAAGTCTTTGTTTGCATTTTTTCTTTTCGCATATTTTTCCCTTTTTTCCTTTCCCCTACCCTCCCCACTTCCACTACTCCTTTAGCTCTTTTTTTTCTTATTTCACATTATTAATTATACACTTTTTTAGTTGACTTTGTTCACAGATGCCCCTTGTATGGAGGAAAAAGATCCTTTCCATTTCTAGAGTTTTATCAGAAATGGGAAGTGAATTTTGCCAAATACGTTTTCTGCATTGAAGATGATCATAGGATTTTTCTTCTTTGTTATTATAGTGAGTCATATTTGACTTGGTTGACTTGCAAATGCTAAGCAACCTTTCATTTCTAGTAAAAACTCTGCTTGGTCATGGATACCTTTTTAAATTCAGTTTCACAAAATACCCTTTAACATTCGTGTGCCTGTGTTCTGAGGAAAATATGTAGTTACCATATAGTGTCTATTGTACTGGTGCAATACACTAAGGTAACAATTCTTCTTTAATATTCTGGAAAATTCTATGTAGAGTTGATACTATCTTTTTCTTTTAAAATTTAGTAGATTCTTCAGTGAAGCCATCTAGGCCTGGAGTTTTCTTTGAGTCAAAATTTTTAACCATAAATTCAATTTCTTTTGTTCATAGATAGAGACCATTCAGAGTGTCTATTTCTTCTTTAGTAAGGTTTAGCTATTTGTATTTTGAAGGAATATATCCATTCTGTTGAGCTGACTGATACAAAAGTATTCATAAATATCCTTTTTCATGATTTTATGCTTTATACAAATGTTTGCTCTTTCATTCTTGATACTGATAATTCATGTCTTCTTTTCTTGATGTGTCTCACTAAAAGTTTACAAGTTTTGGTGACCTTGAATCAATGTATCATTTCATCGATTTTCTCTATTGTTTGTTTTTCTGTTTTTATTTCATTTATTTTGGCTTTTATCTGTATGTATATATAGTAAAAGCTTAGCTCATTGATTTGAGATGCTTTTCCTAATATAAAAATGAATTTCAACTTCCTTATACAGTTTTCCTACTTTAGCAGCATCCTCAAAATTCTACTGTTGTTTTAATTTTTATTCTGTTCATATTACTCTCTAATTTCCTTTTTAATTTCTTTAACCTATGGATTACTTAAAATTATGTTATTTAATTTCCAAACATTAGGGAAATTTCCTGATATCTCTATGTTGTTTATTTCCAATTTAATCCCAATGTGCTAATAAAGGATACCTTAAACTCTTTGAATTTTTTAATTCATTGAGGATCATTATATAAACCAGAGTGTGGTCAACCTTGATACATTTCCTTGTGCCCATGCACAAGGAAAACTCTCACTCTTCAGCTTTTGGGTAGAATATGAACTAAATCAAACTGGTTAATACTGCTGCTCAAGTCTCCTATAGTCTCACTGATTTGCTCTCTGCTTTTTCTATCAATTATTTATAGAGGGATGTCAAAATCTCTAACTATAATTGTGGATTCCCATGGTTCTTTGTCATTTCTCTGATTTTCTAAGCATATAATTGGAAGCCTCTTATTTAGTTTAGGTTTTTTATGTTCTTTAATGAAATGGGCTTTTATGAACTTAATTATGTTCATCCCTGGTAACATTCTTTGCTTTGAAATCTCTTTTCTTGTTGAATTCTTCAGTTTATTCTTTTCTTTGTGAATCAATTTTGACAATATATTCTTTTTCTAAAAATTTTTTATTTCCTTAAGAAGTCAACTTTACTGACAAAGTTATAAATAATGTATTTATATTCTTTTAAGAATATCTTCAGGATCTTTATGAAGAACCCTTTGACAAATTGGCTTTGCTAATGTGTCATAGTTTTTCTTGATTATTTTTAACAGAAGTTTATCAAGTTAATAGTATACCAAAAACTAATTTCTTAAATGTTTTGATTCTCTATGTTGTATTTCTTGTTTTGTTAATTTCTGTTTCAATCTTCACACATCTTTCTTTTATTTTTCTAATGTGTGTACTTTATTGGTACATTTTTTTTTATTGAGTTTATTGGTACATTTAGGGATACAGTACAGTTACATTCATTGTTGGGATCATGTACCTTTACATGGCAAGTCTTGATTCTCATTTTTTTCCCCTTACCTCTGCCCTCCCTTCACCCCCTCCTCCCCTCCCCATCTACAAACACTTTATTTTCATCTTTTCATTCTCTCACATTTTTTTCTTTTCCCTTTTTGTTCTTCCCCTACGTATCACACCTTCCCTACACCTTTAGCTCCTTTCCTCCCATTTCTAAATGTCAGTAATCTTATTAGAATCTTATGCATTGTTGCAGAATATTCACACCAGGGAAACTATTTGGTATTTACACATGTGGGACTTATTTATTTCACTTAGGAGTATATCTTCAATATGTATCCATTTTCCTATGAATGAATCTATTCTCTCGCTCTTTATGGCTGAGTAATATTCCATTTTATAGAAAAACCACAACTTCTTTATCCAGTTTCCAACGGATGGGCAAATAGGTTGTTTCCAAGATTTAGCTATTACAAACTGTGCCGCTATAAACATGGGTGCACATACTTCTCTGTGATATGATTCTTTTAGTTCTCTTGGAAAGATACCCAACAGAGGGATGGCTGGGTCAAATGGAACCTCCAGTCCAAGCTCTTTGAGGTATCTCCATATTGATTTCCATAGTGGTTGCACTAGTCTGCACTCCCACCAACAATGGAGGAGGGTTCCTTTCTCCCCACAACCCCGCCAACATTTGTTATTGTGTGATTTCTTGATAGCAGCCATTCTTTGTGGGGTGAGGTGGAATCTCAGTGTTGTTTTCATCTGCATCTCTCGAATGACCAGTGATGTGGAACATTTTTTCATATATTTTCTTGCTGCTTTCACTTCTTTGTATGAGAAATGTCTGTTCATTTCGGATGCCCATTTTTGGATCGGGTCTTTATATTTGGGGGGACTGATTGTTTTGAGTTCTTTATATATCCTTGATAATAGTCCTTTGTCTGAGGTACAGCTGGTAAAAATTTTTTCCCACATTGTAGATTGTCTCTTAGTTCTGCTAATGGTTTCTTTTGAAGTACAGAAGCTTTTTAGTAAGATGAGATCCCAGTTGTTGATTCTTTCTGCTAGTTCCCGTGCTACTGAGGATTTGTTCATAAAGTCTTTTCCTATACCAATGTCTTCCAGAGTTCTGCCTAACTTACTTTCCAGCAAGTTTAATGTTTCTGTTTTAATATTTAGATCTTTAATCCATTTGGATTTTAATTTAGTGCATGGCGAAAGATAAGGGTCTAATTTTAATCTGTGACAGGTTGATATCCAGTTTTTCCAACACCATTTATTAAAGAGGCTATCTTTCCTCCACTGAGGATGGTGAGCTCCTTTGTCGAAGATGAGGTAGCTGAGTACATCTGCATTTGTTTTTGTGTCTTCCAGTCTGTTCCATTGATCCTCAGGCCTATTTCTTTGCCAGTACCATGCTGATTTTATCACAGTGGCTTTGTAGTATAGTTTCAAATTGGGAATTGTTACACCTGGTGCCATGTGACTGTTGCCTATAATGGCTTTTGCTATTCTAGGTCTCTTGTGGTTCCAAATGAATTTTTGGATTCTTTTTTCTAGTTCTGTGAAATATAGTGTTGGAATTTCAATTGGCATTGCATTGAATGTATATAGCAGTTTCGGTAGTATGGCCATTTTCACTATGTTGATTCTTCCTACCCAGGAGCAGGGGATATCTTTCCATTTTTTTATATCCTCTTCGATTTCTTTTTTCAGAGTGCTGTAGTTTTCAGTGTAGAGATCTTTTGTTTCTTTTGTTAGATTGATTCCTAGATACTTCATTTTTTTGGATGCTATTGTAAAAGGAATTTTTTCCCTTATTTCTCTTTCTGTCTGTCTGTTATTTGTGTATAGAAAGGCTATTGATTTTTGGGTATTCACCTTGTATCCAGATACTTTACTGAATCTGTCAATTAAGTCTAGAAGTTTTTTGGTGGAGTTTTTTGGATCTTCAATGTAGAGTATCATATCATCAGCAAATAATGATAGTTTAACTTCTTCCTTTCCTATCTTTATTGCTTTAATTTCTTTCTCTTGTCTAATTGCTGTGGCTAATGTTTCCAGAACTATATTGAAGAGAAGTGGCGATAGTGGGCATCCTTGTCTTGTTCCTGATTTTAACATGAAGGTTTTCAGTTTTTGGCCATTCAATATGATGTTGGCTGATGGTTTTTCATAAATAGCCTTTATTAAATTGAGGTATAGACCATCTATTCCAATTTTTTGCAGGGTTTTTATCATGAATGGGTGTTGAATTTTATCAAATGCTTTTTCTGCATCTATTGAGAGGATCATATGGTTTTTGTCCTTGACTTTGTTAATATAATGTATTACATTCACTGACTTTCGTATGTTGAACCACCCTTGCATCTCTGGAATAAATCCGACTTGGTCATGATGGATGATCTTCTTAATAATCCTCTGTATTCTGTTTGCTAGTATCTTATTAAGGATTTTTGCATCTATATTCATTAAGGAGATTGGTCTGTAGTTCTCCTTTTTGGTTGTATCTTTCTCTGGTTTGGGAATCAGAGTGATACTTGCTTCCAGGAATGAATTTGGAAGTATAGCTTCTCTTTCAATTTCATTGAAAAGTTTGAAGAGTAATGGTAGTAGTTCTTCTCTAAATGTCTTGTAAAATTCAGCAGTGAATCCATCAGGGCCTGGGCTTTTCTTTGTTGGTAAGTTTTTAATTACATTTTCAATTTCACTGATTGTGATTGGGGTGTTTAAAATGTTTTTATCTTCTTCGTTCAACTTTGGTAATTCATAAGTATCTAGAAATCTGTCCATTTCTTCTGTGTTTTCCATTTTATTAGAGTACAGGTTCTCAAAGTAGGTGTTCATGATCCTCTGGATTTCTTTCGGATCTGTTGTGACTTCGCCTTTTTCATTCCTAATTGCATGGATCTGAGCCTTTTCTTTCCTTTTTTTGATAAGATTAGCTAAGGGTTTGTCAATTTTATTTATTCTTTCAAAAAACCAGCTCTTTGTTTCATTTATTTTTTGTATCGTTTTCTTAATTTCAATTGCATTGATTTCTGCTCGGATCTTTATAATTTCCTCTCTTGTTCGAGCTTTGGGTTTTTCTTGCTCTTGTTTTTCTAGGAGTCTAAGTTTCATCGTTAAGTTGTTTATTTGAGCCCGCTCTGTTTTCCTAGTGTGGGCATTCAATGTTATGAATTTTCCACGTAGAACTGCTTTCATTGTGTCCCAAAGATTCCTGTATGTTGTATTGGCATTCTCATTTATTTGTAAAAACTGTCTAATTTCTTCTTTAATTTCCTCTGTAATCCATTGATTGTTTAGGAGAGTGTTGTTCAGTTTCCATGTGCTTGTGAAGTTTCTATAGTTTCTTGTGCTATTGATGTCTAGTTTGATTGCACTATGATCTGATAATAAACAGGGGATGACTTCAATTTTTTTGCATTTATTTAGACCTGTTTTGTGAGCCAGTATGTGGTCTATTTTGGAGAATGATCCATGTGCAGCCGAAAAGAATGTATATTCTGGTTTTTGGGGGTGGAATACTCTATAAACATCTATTAAGTCCATGTGTTCCAAAGCTTGGTTCAGTTCTATTATTTCATTGTTGATTTTCTGCCTAGTAGATCTGTCAATTTGTGATAGTGGGGTATTTAAATCCCCCACTACAATTGTATTAGTGCTTATTTGGTTTTTCATGTTACTTAATATTTGTTTTATATAGTTGGGGGCATTTATATTTGGTGCATATATGTTTATGATTGTCAGCTCTTCCTCTTGAATTGTTCCCTTTACAAGGATGTAGTGTCCTTCTTTGTCTCTCTTAATGAGTTTTGGTTTGAAATTTACTTTATCTGAGAATAAGATTGCTACCCCTGCTTTTTTCTGGACTCCTGACGCATGGAGAATTGTTTTCCATCCTTTCACTTTCAGTCTATGGACTTCCTTTTGCACTAGGTGTGTTTCTTGTATACAACATATTGTTGGATTTTGCTTCTTAATCCATTCTGCCAATCTGTTTCTCTTGATTGGTGAATTGAGGCCATTAACATTGATGGTTACAACTGATATATTTTGACTTATTCTTGTCTAATGTGTGTACTTTAAAGTTATAAATTGCTTTAGCAGCTTCACCATTTTTGCTATGCAGCACTTTCATTAGCATTAAGTCCAAAATATTTGGTAATTCTTATTACAATTTCTTCTTCATAACACAGTGGTTGGATTTTAGGTATGAAACATTATTTGTAGCAATCTGAAGAAAGCTAAATAGGCTTTCTTCCAGAGAGGATTTGCTTGCTTGTATAGGAGCCCAGAGAACCTATCATCTTAGACCAACTTCAAACAAGTTCACACCTTGCTCTCCTGTCTGTCTCTTCAAACACTGCTGTACTTCTACATCCTCTTCACCTCCAGGGAGTGGTTATTGGGGCCTTGTTTGGAAAACCTGTTTTTCAGGCATTTTAAGGCTGTCAAAAAAGTTATCATTTTCCATGATCATACAATGATGTCAGGGCAAGAATAGCTACTGCACTTGACAGATTTCCGGCTTCTTCCCTCTCAGTTTCAACCTACCTATCCCTATTTCATTCACTCTGATTCTTTTGTTGATGTATTTATTTAAGCAGCACTAGGTATTGAACCAGTTGCTTTGCTCACCTCAAGCAAGTATTCTATTACTGAGCTAAACTCCCAGCCATATTTAAAAAAAAATTTTTAGCCAGGCTTTTAAGTTATTTTCAACAGGGTACGGAACTAAAAATATATATTACTATTTCTCTATAAGTGTACATGACTTTTTTTGTTGATTTTTTGAGGCAGAGTCTCACTATGTAGTTCAGAATGCTCTGGAACTCACTGTGTAGCCCAGGCTGGTCTCGAACTCACAGCGATCCTCCTGCCTCAGCCTCCCAAGTGCTGGGATTACAGGCATGGACAACCACGCCCAGCCCATGATCAACTCTTTAGAAAAGAAAGCCTCTAAATATAGCTTTATTTTCATCAAACCTCAATAGCCAAACATTGTTCCATCAACTCCAGTCATCACAGTCCCAGGCCGGTAACTTATTTGGTCTTTATTTCTGTGTGGCTTTATGAGTCAGTCAGGTCTGAAAGTTGTTACAAACCCTTTCCTTGAACAAGCACACAGATCTAAGGTTTGCTTAACTCTTCCAGTCTTAAACCTCTGACAAACATTTTTAACAGTATATTTACCTCCCAGAACAAGAAAATAGCCTTTCTGTTTCCTCTTTCAGCTGAGGGAAGAAATTTAATTTATCTTTTAGCTCTCCAGTGGGAGAGTGGAGTAGCAGTCAATATGAAGCAATCTCTTCCCAACGTATAAAACCATTCACCTCTCTTTTCTTGGCCATTAAAGAAGGTTCATCCAAATAAACAGAAAATCTCATGCATCAGGATTGGTTACCTCTGAAATCGCAATGTAAATAAAAATTCCACATTAAATATTTCAAAATTACTGGGTTGAAAAATACAGCTTGGTGATTGATAAAGCTCTTGCCCAGCATGCACAAGGCTTTGGGTTCAATCCCAAGTACCAAAAGAAAATTTATCATGGTGTTTAATCAAGGGCTTTAAGTGAGTTCTCCAAAAATTGATAACGATATCTCACTATTTGCTTTGTTTCCAAATACAAATGTTTGATAGAGTTTTAAGGAGGATTAAAACTAACCTCTTTTTGCTTTTGTGAGTCTCATTTACTAACTATAACATTTCTCACTGGTTTTGTTTAATTTGAATAGAAAATATAAGTGGAAACAAATGCATATTGATTATATAATGCCTTTGATTCAGGAAGAATTTGAGGCCAAGAGGCCACCATCACCTCCAAAGGCAAGGTCTACTGCTGGCTCCTGCTCTTCAGAGAGACCCCTACCCAGGCCTGATGTCAAAGAGAAGACTGTGTGCATACCGAATTACCTGGAACAGGAAATAAAAGTAAGAGGCAGGTTTATTAAATCTCTAACCTGGAACAGCATGAACATGCAGGGAAAAACCAACCAACAAAACAGACACACAAAAAAACCATAACACCCATTCATAAAATCTTCTGACGAGTGGTTTCTCACTGATGAGTGAATTTATTTACAGCTATTCAGCCTAGAATCCAAGGCCTGCTCCTATTTCCACTTTGAGTCCCTTTCCCTGGAATTCGGTCACTGTTATATAAACACAAACTTCGGCTTAGAACAGTTGTTATAAAAAGGCTGGCATTTGCCACACGTGCCCCCATTCTGCCCCTTCCGTTTCTTCCTTTTCATCTTCCTAAAGGGTGACAGGTTCTAACTTCTGGCCACTTCCTATTTATTTCCATGCAAAGACAGATACTCTCCAACCAATGCTCAACTCTCCTTCCGGTAATGGAAAACTACGTCCGCAAGCATTCCCCACTCGAGGGTGTCAAGTTAGTTATTTAATAATATTGCATCACATCAGCCTCTTGGAAGGTTCTCCTCAGCCACAGTTATTTCTGAGAATGACATTGAAGATTAAATCAAGCAGCAGATACTTGTCATCTGCGGTTTTTCTTCTTTTTGAATCCCTTCGATAGACACCATATTGCCTCACCATAGATCCACTCCTATAAACTAAGGGTCAAATATACTGTAATGATGATTCTGATGGTGTTTTAAGTAAGTAGTATTTGTAGTAACAATCACAAATCACAAAGCCTGTTGTAAGGATTATTAAGCCTGAGAAGGAACTATTTTAAAAGTAAAGCATAACAGTGGCTTTGCTATGATAATTTGCATTGATGAGTAAAACTGGAGGAAAGAATGAAAGAAAAATGGAGAAAAGATATGTTTTTGCAGATGTGACTGATGATCTGGCTAAAGGCTTTTTACTCAATCCAACAATGAAAATCTCCAGAACCCGGACTAGAGGTTCCATTTGACCCAGCCCTCCCTCTGCTGGGCATCTTTCTAAAATAATTAAAAGAATCATACCACAGAGACAATGTGAAATAGGAAGAAAAGGGCTAAAGATGCAGGGGAAGTAGGAAGGTTAGGGGAAAGGAAAGAAGGGAAAAGAAACAATATGAGAAACGGAAAAAAAATGGAAACAAAGTCTTGGTAAATAGGGGATGGAGGAGGGGGTGAAGAGAGGGCAGGGAAATGGGGAAAAAATAAGAACCAAGATCTGTCATGTAAAGGTACAAGATCCCAGTGATGAATGTAACTGTACTGTATACTTTAAAAGTACCAGTAAACTCAATAAAAAAAACAAAAATAAATTTGAAAAACTTAGTATGGTCAGTTTTTTAAAAATTTTTTTAGTTAAAGAATTTTATTGTTGGATTGAAAATTGGGAAGGCCTGCAAAAGACAGGGTGTCAGAAGGGCAATCTGTTCGAAGGTACGGAGACTGGCACCCTCAGACTCTGCTGAACAACACTGGATATTTCTGATGTTGACGACTCGCCCTCTGGAGCTGGAATAGAGGATGTGTAAATTCTGGAAGCCTCCTCACTAGTTTGCTGAGTTTTTGCCAACTACAATGATACAAAGACTCTCATATACTATTTTTCAGTTAACTTTATGGGAAAAGAATGATTAGGTCATCTTGAGGATTTATGATGACTCTGTTCTAAGAAATCACAGAAGAAAAACTCTTGCTGGGCATGGTGACACACACCTGTAATCTCAGCACTTGGGAGACTGAGGCAGGAGGATTGCTGTGAGTTCAAGACCAACCTACACAGCAAGACCCTGTCTCCAAAAAAAGAAAAGAAAGAGAAAAAAAAAAAAGAAAAGGAAAGGAAATAAAAGAAAGAAAAATTCTTTGAGAGTCCAATGACTCTGATAGCCTTCTAAGGATAGAACCACAGAGAAACCTCCACACTGGACACATTTACAATTCTCCACTCCTGATCCACACTAGATTGAGACCTTTTGGAGCCTTCACCATCTCTGAAGCTCAGAAGCCTCACTTGGCAGTCTAGATGCTTCTGTCCATGCCCCGAACCAACGTTTACCTGAATGGATTGGAAGCTCCTGTGGTCCACAGTGTGCCTGCATGCAACAAAGAACATGCAGGTTTCCTAGGACCACTCATCACACCTTCTTTCACTGAAAGGATAATTATGTCCTCTAGGATGGAGGTAATCTATGAATCAGAGGAAGTGGGAAATGATGTGTCAGCACTATAGTGATTTTTAAAACACAACAGCCTAGTGGCAGAGTAGGCTAGAAAATACCCTAAGACAGGGATGACAAAACATTTTAGAAATGAGAGACGAAACTGCAGCCACAGACCCACCTTATTTATCACAATGTGCCAACATTGCAATTAAACCTGAACACTGAGGTTTTAGTTTAGAAAAAACAACTCATACACTTGGCTCACGAACTGACTGAGAGGGCTCTGGGTGCCCATTGTAGCCCTGGTGCCAAAGTTTTGTCACTACTGCCCTAAGGGCTTGTTCTCTGCTCTTGCTATGGTGTTGATTTGCTGTAACATTCAGAGCAAATTAATGTGTTGTCTTCTAGGATCTGAAATTGCTGAGGACAGAAATGTGAATACGATAACACATTTCCTTTTAGGGCAGTTGATTTTTCAGCCTTTGCATTGCACTTCTGTTATCTCCAAAGTCTAGATCAGCGACTGAGACAAATACTCATTGAATTAATAATTTAAGATTATTAATCTTAAATGATGAGAGATGAGATGAATATTTGTTGTAGTAGCTCAAGCAAAAAGTGATGCTGCTTTAGACTAGAGCAAGGTAGCAGTGATAAAGAAAGGAGATTTGAAGGATATTCAGAAGACAGAATGTGCTAAACTGTTGGTAATGTTTTGTAGAAAAGGACAAGGGAGATGTCTGGGATGAACCCTGGGTCTGCCTTAGAGAATTCACTGGGTGCCAATGCTGCTGAATGAAAGGGGAATCAGGAGGAAGAGCAAGTTCGGAGCAGGTTTTAGAAAGAGGTTTACGGGTTTAGTTTTAGATGTTTTTGGGTTCAACATTCCTATCATACACCTAAGTAGATGCGTTTTAAAGGCAAATGGATACCTAGGACAGGAATTTAGGAGACAGAAATTACAGATATGTCTAATAGCAAACACAATTAAGGTTCAAACTGGAATCTGCATTACATGTGCTTACTTAATATTCTATACTTTTATGTTAATGCTTATTAAAGCCCACTTTTATTATTTAGTCCATATTCTCAGCTCGATCACCAACACTTAAGCTGTAATATATATTATATACAGTGATATGTATGATTCTGATTGGCTAAAGAGGTTTACTTTCCAATCCCACTGGACCAATCCCGGCAGCTTAAAGAACCAAGGCGCAATGATGAATCCAGCTCAGATACATCACTCTTATTCACGTGATGGGAAGGAGCAGTGTAGATGGGGCCCGTTCTGTGACTGGCAGAGCTGTGCAGTGACCATGGTGCAGTGGGTGAGGATCTGTTTCCCGATTCCGTGATCCACTCCTGTCTGAAGATGTGAAACGGAACAGAGGCAACGCGGGAAAAGCACACAGCGTTGCCTGAACTGTTACTGCAAGGGTGGTGCTTTGCTAAGATTCCACTGTGTACTGTTGAGGCCTGAGTGTCACTTGCAGAGCAGGCTGGGGAGGTGAGATTCTGACGGCGAAGGAAACCTTGTAAGCCCTGTAACACTTCCATGCTCACTATGCAACTTTACTCTCCTCTGTCAGATCCTGGCAAAGCTCTGTGACATTGTACGCACTGATTCCCTGGCAGAAGTTCTGCAGTGGCTGCTTCACGCAAGTACAAAAGGTGAGCTTGAGGTAAACATTTGTAGCTACCGAGCTCAGGTTATTGTCAGAAATTAAGAATCTGCCCAAATCCTTGGATTTGGAAAGATAATGTTGCACTATTATTTCCCTACTGTTTCTGTATCCGAATCACATAGTCCCATCTATCCAACCATATGCATGCTGATCACTCAGTGAACCTAAAAAGCAGTAGACCTCAGACTGAACTCCTCGGAGAGATGCTTGTGTCCAGATGAGCTAGAGCTGGTTTGTGCTTGTCCTCCTGACACACACACCCAAGGTCCCCCCTGAGCACATTCTCTGCCTTCTCTGAACCCTGAACGCAGAGCCCATTTTTTTTCCCTTTGGATGGCAGTAACACAGCCTTCCGTGTTCCAGATTCTAACAACTCTGCCACGACCCACCAAAACTACCTACTCCATCATCTCTTTGCCTTCTTTGGGGCCCTCCAACCTGGTCTATGAATATACTTGCTATTCTTAAGCAGGACAACCATAGGTGGCATGCACACACTCAAACGCAACTGGTCATCACACAGTGCACATCTAATATGGTGACACGAGGGATCCCTCTCTGAGAATCACTGCACTAAACTATGTAAGTACCAACAGGTTAGGGACAGACTATTTTTAAATGGGGAACATTTTGGAAATAGCACCTTACCTCAGGAACTCAAGACTTCTTTCCAGTAATTGACAAGTACTGTACTTGGGGGCAATGGATCTTTATTCATTTTTAGGTATTTTTCCATTTTAAAGAACGTCAATTAATTATGCAGATAGTGAATGCTTACTGTTGAGAGAAAAGAACAAATGAACTAGAGAAAAAAAAAGATAACAATAATCAGTAAAATTAGCATGGACATCCTTTCAGTGACTATTATAACGCATAACTTTCTATTTTTATCTATCACTATGTACTTTAATGGAATCATATTGTACTTATTTTTGTGCAGCTACCTTTACATTGAATGGGAATCCTAACATTTTCAGCAGCAGCGTATAGGGCTGGCTTTTGTTCTCCATACTCTACAGTGATTCCACTGCCCTTTGGGATGAGACTTTCTGTGATTTACCTGCCCAGGTCCCTACAGCCTCACAGGGCAGCAGAAATGTGTCCTGTCCCATAGGCACCTACCAGGAACACACCACCAGCCTTTTACATGGGGGCTTTCTGAATAACAGAACCAATCTGTGTTTCCAGACAACTTGATAAGGACAACTTGCCTCTCCCCAACCATTTTTTTTTTTTAATCAGAAAAAGAATGGGTCTCGGCTTTGGTTCACTCGGAGCTGGCTGAGACAAACTTCTTAACTTGCCGCAGAAGGAACTTGGCAGTGGAACCAACAGTGGAGATTGGGAAGCCATCCAAAGCTAAATCTCCTACTGTTGTCAAATCTCCTGCAAACTCACCTGCAGGATCAAAAGTGCTGGCAGAAGAGAGGGAACCAGCCAGGTAATTACACAGCTACTTGGGGGAAGCTACAGCACATAAAAACTTTTAACTCTATTGTCTATCTCCCAAAATGCTGAACACATTGTCTCTATCCAGTAAATGCTTGTATATGTTTTCTTTCATTTTCATAAATGTAATATGAAAATTATTTTCACTTCTACTGTTCAGAACATTTTGGCAGGTGCTGTCTTCCTTGTCCAGCAACTTTCCTTTTGAGAAAAAGCCCCTTTCCACCAAGGACAAAGCAAGAGCAGCCACCTAGAAATCTAGCAAAATAGGGATTTTTACAAAACTAAAACTAGAAGCCATAAAGAAAATGAAACTGTAGTGTTATAGTTGCAAATATTTTACATATTCTATTAAATGCTATTACACAGATATAGCTTTTTGTGTAGGAAAGTGAAGATAAAAAATTGCTTCACTTAAATTTCTCTGGCAGAGCCCTGGGGGTTTTGAGAGGAAAAAAATAACCACTGAGGAAATTGGAAATTATTCCAGAAGGAATTTTTCTTAAACAATGTAATTTCAATAACAGAAGAAACATACATATTTGTTTATAATTTGAATATATTCATTTATATTTATGAAGGAAGAATGCTAGGAAAGAAAATCTCACTTTAAAATTAAAAGTTGAGTAAAATTTAGATAATTAATGTTTTAAAAGCATAATATGTCACTTTAAGGAGCATATGACAGAATCTTATTTGGTTATTTGTCTCTACCATAACATCTCCATGAAATCAGAAACTAGGAGATAAGAAAAGTCAGTCTCTCTCCCTTAGTGATCAGCATATGATTAGTCAAAGTGAAAAGAAGCTTTAATTGGGAAGTAAATTTAATTCTGTATGCATGTAAAAACAAATAATCAGGATAGCATATTTAAGATACATGTACACAGAACTAGGGGAATAATGTATTCTGTGCGTGTAAAATTCATGTCTTTTTTCTTTCTCTGGTTGATTTAGAGTGTCAAGTCAAGGATCAGAAGGAAATAAGGAATTACCAAAAGGTTAAGTACAGTTTGTGATAATTACTGAGTCTGTACAAAGAAACCAGTAAGTACTAACCACTCAGTGGCATAGACTTTAAGAATCTGTGCTTTTAGAAGTAAAACACAAAAGGTGATTTCTAACTCAGCTCTTACAAGACAGCACATGCTGAATTTCTCATAGAAATAAACTGGCATAGATTAATAGTCATTTTGAAAGGCAAGTGTCTCTCCCAAGATGGACACTCTGAGAAGCCAGACAGCAGGACAGCGGGAACTGCAGGTATAGTCTTGGCAATTCGATGAGAGGGATCCCTGCACTGGCTGAGAAAAGGAGGACCATAAGGAGGACCATCTCAGAGCTTTGGCTAACTGTCCTGGGGCTGGAAACAGCCACAGAAAAGAATTAAGCACAGCAGCCACAAGAAGTGCCTGAAGGGGCAGCTGAAATAAAATAGGAAGGAGCACTTTTCCCCACCACAGGCTGGATGCCTGCCTACAACTTGGGCCAGTGTACCAATAAACAGTAAATGATAGAAAGAAGAAAGAAAGAAAGAAAATAAAGAGGGAAGAGGGAGAGGGAGGGAGAGGGAGAGAGACAGAGAGAGAGAGAGAGAGAGAGAGAGAGAGAGAGAGAGAGAGAGAGAGAGAAGAAAGAAAAGCAAGCCTTTGGAATTAGAAAAAAGAATCAGTGACCGTGGAAAGCCCTACCCTGGCCCAGAAGAGCCCAGTGGAAGCATTCCCTACAGATTCAAAAGCTTCTAGCTATAATACAAGCTAGTAATAATGTTGGAGAGCAGCTTCAAACCAGACTCCACCCTGTTTCTCCAAGTTCCCTTTGCACCAGGAATGATGTGATAATCAGAGCTTCTTAAAGCCATTCTGGACCCCGGCTGTTTCCACTGGGGTTAACCATGCTCAGTAATGACTCTAGGTGCCAGCCAGCACTAGCACACAGTTTAGAAGTGAGCGTGCACCCCCTCCCCTCCCAGGACTCCCAGCAGTCCGTTGACCCGGTCTCGCCTACAAACTCCTCACCCTAGGAATATAAAAAAAATCACTTCAGTGGAGGTTTCCAGTGAACCCATCCTGTAGGCTGTGGAAAAGTCTTATGAGTATAATCAATTTGTTTTACCTTCCTTGTTTGTTCTTCATTTTGTCTCTCAAGACCACAGATTTTTCTGTTTTTTCTCCTTGGCCCCATTTTTGCCCACGCTCTGTATCCATGGCCAGTTCTAAGTCATTCCTATCAAACACATCTGCTTCTAAGAGTGAAACAATGTGTTATGCATGATTAAGAACGAATAACTCACTGAAGATGAGCGAGTGGTAAGAAGTGAAGATGAGCATAGAATCTTTTATGAATTCAGGGTGTTTCTGATTCACTTCAACTTCACATTTTAAAAAATATCATTCGCTACGAAACAAGACAAAAGCTGTCCTCGGTGTTTCAATTATGGTCTCACTTAGATTTCTTTCCATTTCAGGGGCTGAGCACAAGCCCCCACTGTTTATAAGAAGCCGCAAGATGAACATACCTGCTACAGAGTACTTCAGCAAGCCACAGTCTCCTCTCAGGCCTAACACTTGGGACTGCAGGTCAGCGAAGTCAGCGTCAGCAAGGAGCGTGCAACAAGGACTTAATCGCTGTTCTCCAAGTCTGTCTTACCCTTTAACACACTAAAGGCAGAAACTTTAGGCGAGTCCCGTTCTGCCACACGAGCTGCACTCTGTTACGTCAAACCGCTCTTTAAAAGAATTGAGTGGTCTTCATTCTGGCGGCACATACAGATTTCAAAACACCCGTGTATGACCTAAAAATAAATATTACTGGAGACAATGTTTCTCTTTGTAGTGAATGTTACTACGTGTAAATGAGGAATGCTTATGTAAACACCGTTTCCAGTCTTGAACTATTAGTATTAGTACCTAGGCAAAGGGGCCCTGATATAAAAACAAAAATCACGCATAATCAGAATAAAGCAAAAGGAATGGAGGAGAGGCGGCAGGGAAAACAGGCTGAGAAGTTGAGCGTTTGAGCTGACTGGCAAGTGATGGTGCTTAAATGTTGTTGGACTATTGTGAAAAGACGCTCACCTCCCTCCAAAAAAGGAAAAGATAAAAATCATCCTTACCTCATGATCCAGAAAGGAGCTGTTTCCACTCCATGCTGTAATGATGGGTATTAACAGGTTTGCTAATATTGAATTTTCCCCTATTTTTAAAATTAACTCCTCTGTGGGTCATAGCTGCTATTGTTATGTGGAGCTGGATTTTATCCACTAATCAGCCTTTTATTTAGAATGTGCTGATATTCAAAAGAAACAGCAAAATTCATGTGCCTGTACATGTGTCCATCTATGCGCATGCTATCTCAGTAACACTTAATCATACTTACGTTGATAGGAATCATCATAAACATTTCAGAGTAGCAACTTTCAAAATCACTATTGTGATAGCTGCTACCACTCTTGTTTTGAGAATAGATGCACTGCTGTCCTCATTGGGATGGGACAAGCTGTCACGAACGCCGTCAGGGTCTAGTTCTCACTCAAGAGTCACGAGTGTGCTCACCATCGGGGGCTGGCTGCTTCACTTGGTGACCGAGGGGCCCAGCAACCTTCCATCCCATCTCAACCAACACCTAGGGCTGTCCCTGTACCCAGTGGGCAAAGAGGGAAGCTGAGGAGAGGAAAGAACTAGTTCCTGTTGTTACTGCAACTAACTACCACAAACTTAGTGACTTTAGTGCCACACAGTCATTCTCTTGTGGTCCTGGAGGCAGAGGCACGGAAAGGGCCACAATGAGCTAACGTGAAGGCCTGGGAAGGCAGCAGTCCTTTTGCAGGCTGTAGGGCCAAATGTGTTTCCTCACCTTCCATCCTCTAGATGTGACCCACACTCCTTAGCTTGTGGCTTTGCTTCCATGGCAGCAGACTCTTCTGCCTCTCCCACTTGGATGATGCTGGTGATTGCACAGGGCCAGCCCATGATCCAGAGTCATCAAAGATTTTCTCCTCAGCTGATTAGCAATTCCATTCCATCTGCAACCTTACATTCCACCTTAGCGCGCTATGTAATGTGCACATCGCTCCTAGGGGTCTGGATCTTTGGGGTGCATTAATTATTCTGCTCTCCACAGGGAGGGTACCTCTGCTAAAAGTGGGCCTGGAAATGGTAAAGGTCACTCCTAGGCACATTCCACAACCAAGGGTGGTTCTAGCTCAGAGGGAAGCTGATAAAGGGTTTGTATAGGAACCATATTACACCGAGTTACATTCTATGGAAAGACAGCTAAAAGTCTTAGTTGACTGGCTCAAAGTGCAGCTGGCACTAATACAAAGATTATGTTCAAATTCATAAAGTTAACACAGAAGCTCTCTTCCCTGCTGTTAGAGAGGTTGCAACTATAACTTTCCTGAAGTCTCATGACTAACAAGCAGCAGGGTCCCCTTTCCTCCTCTTTCCTCATCTCTATACTGATTGAAATTAAAGTTGCCCACTATCGGGTCTCACTGCCATTGATTCTAATCCCTAACATTCCCTTTTCTTATCTCACTTTTCACCTACTGTCTGTGTATTTCTGTGTTCGACAGACAATTCTTGCCTTTTATGAACATCGCCTCAGGGATACAAAGTGAAATAACATGGTCAGTGCCAGCAACTGGGTTTTGTTACTGATTTTTCACCTGCTCAATGACATAAGAAGAATTTTTTCCCATTCTCAGTGTTTTCATATGCTACAAGAAGCCTATAAACACTCATCTCCGGAGAACCAGACTAAAGAGCGCTCCTCTCCTTAAGGATGAACTAGCTTAGGTGGGCACAGTGGCACACACCCGTATTCCCAGCACCGGGAGGCTGAGGCAGGTGAGTCACAAGTTCAAGTTCCCCTACGGCAGTTTATTGAGCTATTGCCTCAAAAAACAAAACAAAAACAAACAATAAGGGCAGAGGTAAGGACATACCTCAGTGGTGCAGTGCCACATCTCCAGTACCAAAACAAAACAAACAAGTTCGCTTTATGAAGAGTGTAGTTTATTAAACATTCAAGGGGAAATCCTCTTATTTCAGCAGACATATATCCTTGTGAGGTTTTACCTTTATTATGTTCTAATACAAATGATTTTACTATTTAGGTTTTAACTAATAGTGCATCTAAATAAACCAAAACAGGTGGGGGGAGGGTATAATAAAATGATTGAGAGAGTGTTTAAATACTATTTTAAGCTGATTTTAAAATCCTTCAGAAATTCATTTAAAAGAAGTGGCAGTCACTGACTTCCTGTCATCAACACCTTGACAAGGCAGACAGTTTCCCCTGAAGAGGGGGGAGTCAGGTGCTGACATCGGTACCTACGAATGTGCTGGATATAGGGGGTTCCCAGATGCAGTCAGGCTAAGACAAGGTCACACTGGGCATTGGTGTAGAGGGAAATCTGGGCACAGGCATGGGAGATGGAGGCCAGACAGTGTGACAGGAAAGACGGTGTGGCGACAGAGCAGAGCACAGGCAGCCCTGCAGGCCCAGGCAGGCAGGACGGCTCTTCCCGAGGCATCTGGAGGAGCGCGGCCCTGTGACACCTGATTCTGGGCTTTTAATCTCCAGAACTGTTGAGAGAATAAATTTCTCTTTTTTACACCACCCAGCTTTTGGTGATTTATTATGGCAACCCTAGGAAACTAATATAGCACTTTTCATAATTAGTGAAAATCAAACTACGTGATTCCCGTCACTTTTCATTATTATACAATGCCCTATTATACACACAATACTTTAAGTGAAAGACATTATTCCATGCTAGTAAGCAATACTTCCTCACAAAAGTCTGAGCCTTTGACAAATGAAACAATAAGCTTTCTTCTTTGAGAAATGTAGGGCTACTTGGCTTATAGACCTTACTTCAAAATGGGTAACTACAATAGGTACTAAGAGAAAAGCAACAAAAGCTAAGCCAGTAAACATCAATACTAAACTCAATGAACTTTCTATTAAATGTGTATATGTAAGTTGTATATAACGTGTATGTACTAAAATGCATCTGTTTAAATATAACTTTCAAGCCATTTTTTAAACAAAACAGAAAAGAACAGAAACATTTTCACAAAATTAGGTGAAAGCTCCTGAGATACTACTTCAGCTGCACTAAGGACAATCACCTCATGTTAAACGTAATTCTCTAGTTACTGATTTGAAACTAACATAGCTTATTTTTCACCCCATCCTCCCCTGCCAACAATTCCAAACAAATATTCAGTAATAGATGTTTGCACTTCATGAGATTCAAATTGCTCTTAGTGAGTCTGACACATCTGTCAGTCCTGGCAGATATGACAAGCGAATAACAGAACCATATAGGACAGGGGCAAACATGTAGACACAACCATGTGTCCATTTTCATACATGTCTGTTATTTACAGAGACAGAAATATTTACATTACTTTGCTAGTATATGACGAGGAAGCTGTACAATATTCACCTTAAAAGCCAACAAATTTTATTTTAATAAAGGAAGGATAGCCAAGAGCTGTTTTATTAATTCAGAAAAGATGAAATCCTTTAACAGTAACAGCCTCATAAAATAATCAAAAAAATAAAATAATCAAGCCTGCAAACACTCAGTCATATAACTGAAGTAATTTATTACCATTATAGAAATTAAGAGACTGTATTAAAGAGACTCTCAGCTCTGTGTGATTATTTCCATGAGAGACATTACAAAGGAGGCACAGGTAGGGCCCCGTAGCCCAGGACAGATGAAGTTGAGTCCAGCAAATAATGTTTCTTCCCACAGTTGTTATTTCTTTGCAATACTCAAGTCGAAAATGAATGAGGCAGATAGAAGATAATTCCCCTGCACAACATTCTAGTGCACTCACAGTACATTTATGAATATCTGCCCAGGCAAATAAATAGGCCATAGATCACAAAGGTGTGGATCTAAGCATAAAATAATAAAACTGAGAGGTCAGAAGGCACATTTGGAGAATACATTCCAGTAAATGAAAGAGAATGAAGGTAAAATCTTCTAAAACTCTTATTCAAAGCTGAACAACAAAAAAGATACACGTTTAAATATTACACAAATACAAAAAATTCTTTAAAAGTATAAAGAGCTTTTTGTTAATAGTTCAAGAAAAGTTTAAATTCACAATATAAATAAGAGAAAGTAACATTCTGCTCCAATCCGACTGTTCCGTGGAACTCTGTCCTCGTCCCTTCCTCCTGATGTCCCTAAATTACAGGGAGCCAGGCAGTGTCAGCCTGGAAGACTTTCGCCGCCGCCCACTCAGTGGGTTTCCTCCTCCTGCGCTCCCTCTGGATATGCGGAATCCGGTTCATTCCTGCTGCACTCCGCCTCCCCGTCCAATCCGCCTTCCGCCCCGGCGGCCTGCTGGTCCTGGGAAGAACTGTCACAGGCTTTGTCCGTGGGAACAGCTCCTTTCCGCTGGGGCAGGATAGTGAAAAATGCTTCTTGCCAGTCTCTTGTCTGCAGGTATTCCAGAATAATCTCAAATACTGCAATAAAGACACACTCCATCTACTGTCGGTCAAGTTCATCCCAACACTGCATTCTGTCTTCTACAGCACAGTTCGGTGTAACCACTACTCTCTTCCCTCTTCCTGTGGGCTGTCAAGGTCAGCCTGCCCCACGGCTCGCGAACCTTCTCAAGGCAGCTCTGCAGCCACACTCACTACCACTGCGTGTCGCTGAGATCAACGGACAGAGAGCTTTGAGCTTCCTGTTTTTATTCCGTCCATTTCTTTTTTCTCTACGTACTAACACAGACCTATAAGACACCTATATTCACCTAATTTTCTTCTAGATTTCCTATAACGAGCCACTCACTCTCAGCGGCTTCTCAGCTGTTTTCGTTTGTTTAACACTAAGGAGTACAAACTCTCAATACTGTCTCTAATGTACCCTTGTTTTAACAAAATGCAGAAGGGCTATTTTGGATTATTTTGTAGAGAAATAATTTCTACTATACATAAAAAGTTTTAGAAGTTGTTCATCCCTTGAATCAATAATTTCTATCACTCCCTAAAGCCTGCTATCTAGAAAGTATTCAAGGTTCAGTAAGTGGTTGTAAACTGACTAAAACCTTTCCTTAAAAAGGTTTGAGAGAGCAAAACTCTGGTCAAAGAATTAGGTCCAAGAACGTCCATTATAATGTTGTTTGTGACAGGAAAAAATTATTTTCAATAAAAGGAAAATAGCTATTGAATATAGGTATTTCTCACTTAATGATCTACCTGCTTAATAACTGTTTGAACTTATGACAGAGGTGCACTGTTCAGACTTATGACTCATCTGCTTTTTGTACAGTTCTATGCACCTTAAAGAACCTGATATCTTTTTTGTGCAGTACCCCTTGTTTATACAATAGTGTAATTTTTGCTGATGGTGCTATACAGTACAGTACCACAGTTTTATGTCCTGTTATATATTACAGTACTTCCTGTAAGTTAGGCAAATACAAGCAAAGTCATCAAGCTACAGTTTCCTTTGACCCTTTCTTTGTTCTGAATACTGTAATGTACATGCTACATACGACTCCTCATTAAGCTACCAATTCAATTAACAATCTAGTTGCAATAGTGGAACTTAGCTGTTAAATGAGGAATGTATTTACATGATGGAATGTTACAAAGCCACTAATAATCATTCGGTTACAGGGAAAAACATAATGATAAATGGGGGTAATATACCCCTGCTTAGTAATATTGCATGTAACAGAGAATCCGATTATACAAATATATAAGCATGGGGAAAGAACCAAAAGACACACACCAAAAACTAAATACTAAGTATCTCCGAACAGTGACATTATACCTATTCATTTTCAAACATTTACACATTTTCGAGGTTTTCCAAAATATGCACTATTATTTCTGCGAGTTGAATAAATTGTAAGTGCTCTGTATAGTTTTGTTTCTCCAGGAAGGTGTAATGTTTTCTGTCTGTCCACTTCTCTCTCAGGGATGTTTTCAGGGTGCCCTATTACAGCTTACCATGATTAACTGCCAGCACTTTCCGACTATTCATTTTCACAAAATTTCCGAGGGGCAGCTGGGCGTGATCAATCCCATAATCCGATGCTTGTTTATATGTGAATCCCTGAAACAAGGATGCTGAGGCTTAGACTAGAATATTAGATTATCACAAAGTCTGACAGTATAAGTGATTTTTAGAAAAACATCTTTAGTTCAAAGGACATTATCTGAAAAGAGTGATGTGTGCATATGTGTGTAGCTGCTAATCTGGAAACCTTCTCTTGACAATTTGAATGTTTAGAGTATTACAATGTTTGTTTTAACTTCTTCAATTCACAAATACTGAGGCCAAATCAATTCTATTCCCAGCCAGTTAGAGGTCCTCAGTGGAAAACCGTTAAGAAAAATTGGGCCAGGGATTTAGCTCAGCGGTTCGGTGGCCTGCCTTGCAAGTGCAAGGACCCGAGTTCAATCACTGGTACCAAAAAAACAAAAAGAACAAAAAAAACAAGAAAAATCTAGCCCACCTGCCTTTTGGCTAACGCACGTTTTCACCACTGTCTACTGCATTTCTCTGTTAAATACTCAACTTCAGCTGGGCATAGTGGCTTGGCTCACCTAGTATCCCAACAATCTGAGGCAGGAGGTTTGAGGCAGGGCTGATCCAGCCCTGGCAACAGAGACCCTGTCTCAAAATAAAAATTATCATTTCAAAATTTTAAAAGGCGGCTGTGGAGGTAGCTCAGTGTGAAGGCCATGGATTCAACTCTCAGCATTGCAAGATATAAATAAATAACTGAAACTGAATTCCAAGAGAAGCACTATCACTCTTGTAAATATAAAAAAAATTTAAAAACTAAGTTTTACTTACTTAACAGTAAGAGGCACAAATAACAAAAACAGATTTATGACAGCCTGAACAGAAAAATTTAAAAAGTTGTCTATAAAAATTTTCCCCTTTCTGTCAATTAAAAGATGTTGAACAGGAATTTCATCTCTTCTCAAAAATAAAACCCTTGAAGCCTACATCTAACTAGGACTGACATGGCCAAAAGACAGCATAAAGGAAAGCTGCATTTCTTAACTACTAGCTTACATACTTACAGGCAAAACAGGTGGAAGGGGAACCCTTGTAAACCAAATTGTGTTAGTTCAGAGACACACAAGGTGAGAAAAAGTCAGGCTCTGCACACATCCCAGCTGGAAGGCACTTCTGAAGACTTAAATTTAAACTGATCATCATTTTTAAACTCAGCTCCTAAGTCTTCTGGGTCTGGCTGCGCCCATGTGTGACACTCATAGCTGACTCAGGCTCCCTCACTACAGGCAGACGCAGGAAGCTCGGGATGCATGGGGGAAGGAATTACTACTCTCCTGACAAAACATGCTTTTTCCTTAGCTGGGCTGAACTCAGCAGGCTACAAAGTAGCTGACAAAGTATAAGATGATGTTTCCTTTTAGAAAGTGCATTTCTGTAACTTCATGTGAGTAAGTGTGGGATGGGAAGAGAAAAAGGTACAAACACTGTATAAGGGAAGAGAAAAACATCCCATGAAAATCTTACAGGTAAGAACTGGTATAAGCCAGGTATGGTGGCACACATGTAGTCCTAGCACTCAGAAGGCTGTGGCGAGAGGATCACAGAGAGTTTGAGACTACATCGTGATTTGAAGGCCAGCCTGAGCTACAAAGCAAGACCCTGGCTCAAAACAAACAAAAACCTGGTATCAATGTCAATGGCTGAGCAATTCATTAGCAGCAGCACCTTGCACCAACAAGCAGAGTACTTAAATATACGGGCTTGGGAGCAGTTTGCCTCACTTCAAACAGTGGGATTTGCCACCTACCATCGTAGGTTTTAAGCTTCATTTATTTTGGCCTCCGAGTCCTCATCTGTGAAATGAAGACCGCAACTGTGTTGCCCTCACTGGGTTATACTGAGGGCAGGAAGTTGACACCCCTAAGTCCTTTGCATAGCTTGAGGGGTGCTTAAAATAGTAGGTGCTCAATAAGTATCAGGAAATACAAATGTTACGTATGTGTGAACAAAACAAGAAAACTTAACAGTACCTTGTGATGATTGTGATCCACCAACCCTCCGATCACATAGGCCTTTGACTCGTCGAGCTCCTGCAGTACGTTAGGGGAATCTGATGTAAGATACACCAGGTCTTCTTTTTTTATGAGTTCACTGTAGTGCTCTGGTTTGATGTGGATATCCTTTAAAGAACAAGGAGGAAAATGTTATTTTTTAGCGTTTTGTGAAAGTTGGCCAAAAATTATCCTTTTTCCAAAACAAGCCCATATAAAAACATCCTAAAGGAAGTCTGAAAGAATATCGTTATAGTATCTCTATTTAAAATATTCTCCTTTAATGCTTATCATTTTATATCTCGATTCCTTACCACCCTGCTAGTTTTATTCTGTTTCTGGCCTTAGATCCCCTCCAATCTACTTCTACATGTTGATGGTGAACATATTTCTAAAAACATTACTTTCAATGTCTTTTTTCTGACAGGTAAAATCCAAACTCTTTAACTTAAGCAATTCTTCCCTACAGCACCTTTCCAACTTGTATGTGTTAGAACAAAACAAATGCATTTTTAATTCTCTATTTGCTCACGCTAGTTTCTAGCCAAGAAATTCCTTCTCCGGTTAATTAATTACTTCCTCTCCATCTGCTGGAATCATCAAAAAGAAACTGCTTATAAATTTAATATTAAATGTGTCAGGTTTTACATAGATACATATTTGAAAACTTCTTTATCAAAACCATCAGGTCGGAGGTATCAGATTAGAAAACAGTTGGTAGCCAGGATTTTGCAAACCACATTAACTGCAAAGAAGAAGTGAGACTAGGCTCAGGTGACTCTTACTCAATAACTTTTTAAAGAAATCAATAAAGATGCATCAGTTACTTATTAATAAACAGCCACTTTTCTGGGAGATAGGATATTATAAATTTGACTCCTACACCTAAAAGGGCTTCAACAGGGACTTAAACTAGAGACCGGTGAATCTATTTTTCTGAAAACCAATGGTACAAATTATAAATTGAGCAAGACATAAAATAAATCAAAGTATGCCTATCCTTGCTTACAGTGGTGTCTAGGTTTGTGAATGCTTTTATTTGCCAACAGTTTGGTTTGCAAACAGAAGCGTATGGCAAGATTTTGTTTTTGTCTGGGAACCTGCATCAGAGGACAAACACAAGCATGGACATCTTTTCTGCACAAACATAAGCATGGCCATTTTCCCCAGAATCACGGCACAAATTAAGTTTGCGAACCAAGGTACCACTGTATTTCTTAGAAAAAGGGACAAGCATAAAAGATTTGGGGAATACATTATACTTGTAAATTTAAAAGGCCTTTGAAACTGTTAACAAGCTATTAATAAAATAACACAGCCATAATAGGATTTGTGTGAGAAGTAAGAACCTGCTACTTCTCTGGCAAGAAGATTTCCTCAGGCTATGGTCCTGAGCCAGATTATTTATGTGGGTTTTTTTTGTTTTGTTTTGTTTTTTGTTTTTTGGTACCAGGGATTGAACTCGGGTCCTTGCGCTTGCAAGGCAGGCCACTGAACCGCTGAGCTAAATCCCCGGCCGCCAGATTATTTATATTTATGCAAGTGACTGAGAATCGGCAGGGCAAAAAAACAGAACAAAACAACGATAAGCAACATTTATAATTTAAATCTTCTAGTAGTACATTTAAAAAGTAGGGGAGAAACCAGTGAAAATAATTTTATCGTTTATAGGTTAATATAGTTTATAATATCACTTAAACATGTAATAAATGTTTTGGGTTAGTTAAAAGATCGATCTCTCTCTTTACCTTCCCCACCACCCCTGAAATCCAGTATTTCACATTTATACCACCTCTCAACTCATATTTCAGACTGGCACATTTTAAGAGTTCAACAGCCACATGTAGCCAGGGGTCGCATATTGGAGAGCACTGTTTTAGAAGAAGCGATGCGGACGTACTTCCAAATTTAAGTTATATGTACCACCATAGCTAGGTCACAAGGGAGAAAAGCAAAACTTTAAATGTTTCCTCTGTAAAGGTATGTTTTAGAGTTGACAGTAAGACAGCAAGTAAGATTTACTGAGAGGTGCTATAAATTAACAGGTATTTCATTCTCCAGCTCTTTTGATTTCCAACTTTACATTCAGGTACAGCCAAACAGGGGGTTTGGAGAGTGCTGTATTTAGCAGCTCTATTTAGACGGCAGGTAAAAATGTGGGCCTTTCCGAGTGTGGAGACACTTGGGATTACAGGAGAGCAAAGCTGTCCTCTTACCTTCCAGTTGACCCATCCTTTGTCATTGTCATCCATGTTCTTTTTCAGCTGGCCTCCATGACTTGTCAAGTAAAACTGGTAAGGGATTGGTAGACACAGAAAAAGAGAAAACGATCACTTGAGTCCAGTGTTTCATTTCCCTTGTACACTCATCTGATCATCAATGAGACACAAAACATGTTCTCAGTGACCTGGGGAAAAAATAATTTGTGGCATATTCGAGCAAAGGAAATCTGAGGTAGAAATGACATGTTTTGTGGGTACATCTTGAGGCTCACCAGGGTGGGGATGTGGCTTAGTGGTGCCTGGCTGGCAAGCGCAAGGTCCTGAGTTGGATCCCTAGTACTAGGAAAAAAAAAAAAAAAGAAGCCCCAATAACATCCAGGTTCCTCTACACTTAGTCCTACTTTGAAGCAATTGTGATCTGCTCTCCAGAATGATCACATCTCTGCAAACTCACCACCTCCCACGACAAGTTTTCACTGTCCCCATCCTTTTTGGTCACCACTGCCATTTTCCTAACCAGTCCAAAGTCTTTAAAATTTTCTTTGATTTTGAACCCAACACTTATTTTAAATCTGAATCTCAGGCTATTATTAGGGGATGTAGATAAAAATGAGGATTTAAAGACCATCATGGAAGTGTAACATAACATTATAAAATGCAAAAAAATGTAAACTACCACTTGGTAAAAACAAAATTTCTTAACATTAATGAGCTTATGTTCCTCACCCCAGCTTATGAAACACTTTTTGAACTAGGAATAACCCAAAAAGGATACTAGAGTCCTTTAAGCAGGCAAAACTTATGGAACAGGTACGAGACGATCCATCGGGCAACAGAGCCCCACGCTCCCACCTCCCTTTCCCAACCCCCGGCACTGGGTGGAACCAAGAGCTGAGAAGTGGAATGAAAATGCGTGTACATCCTGCAGTGAAGACGGTCAGCAACACAGCGGTGGAAAGGGCGCTCTGGGCAAGAGCAACGACGACTGGGACGAGTATTCCTCGGAACGACACGGGAGAAAAGGCGTTTGAAATATTTCCCTTCGTTCTTGTAGAAAAAGGAAACACTTCAAACACTCAAGGGGGATGATCTCTGAGACTCTCGCTAAGCCAAATGGAACTGTCTACGCCTTCTGTTACGACAGCGATAAAAGGAAACTAGACTCGGTTTCAAACTCCTCAGCCATACCTGCACAGGACACAGCGCTCTGCGGTTTTCTGCATAACATCGCTGGATCTGCTTGTGAAGTTTCTTAATATCCTATAGAAAAAGCATTAATTTAAAAGACATAAAATTATCTATGGCCATTCACAACAGTAAAAAATTAAGCGAAGCACTGGATAAAGAATTTTGCTTCTTAGGTAATACCCTGATAATTCTCAATTTCCTTACATACTAACAAGGTCACTCTAAGTTAATACTCTGTACTTCACCCGTTATTTCATATTTTGTAGCCACTTAAAATGTTAGTTCACCAAAAATATCTATTTAGGAGACAACAAATAAAACTCTTTCAGTGACATATTATTACTGTTTTCATGCTTTACCAACGGCATTGGTAAAATCCCATAGATCTTTATAATTAATATGCAGTTACTGAGTTTTATCATCAAATTGTAGAATGTATGTGGTCTTTCTCCATCTAAACATAAACACACATACACATATATGTATAAATTGCACACTTACATCAAAGCAATTTATTAACTAATTTAGGGGGCAGAGAGTCTGCTCTCTTTGACTAAAGATGTATTTTAATACATGCATTTCAAATTAAAAGAAGAGTGATTCAGCCTTGTTCTCCCACTGGAGTTTTGTGACAATGATTCGCGATACCTTTAAGACCATCAAATCATCAAAGCTACAGTCAATGACAAGGCGGAGTGTGCTATGGACAACTTGTCTTCGAACACGTTTTCTGTCATTTCCATCCGAGTTTGATTCCAGTTGACACTGGCGTTCTAATTTCTTTCTCTTGCGTTTTTCTTTCCGTTTCTGTCTGAAATTAGTAATTGAAGTGACTTTTCGTTATTTCTATATTTATATTTGTAAGACTCTTCTATCATTTTTTTTCTTTTTTTTTTTTTCTTTTTTTTTTTTTTTTTTTCTTTTTTTATCTTTTTTTTTTTTTTTTTTTTTTTTTTTTTTTTTTTTTTTTTTTGGTACTGGGTCCTTGTGCTTGCGAAGCAGGTGGTGGAACCACTGAGATAAATCCCTGGCCCAAGACTCTCCTAAATACAACAAAATTACTTTTTATTTTCTTTCTTTCATTTATTATTATTTTTTATTTTGTTTTTTGAGACAGAGTTTCATGTATTGAGACTGACCTGGAACTCACTATGTAGACCAGGTTGATCTCGAATTCACAGCAATCCTCCTGCCTCAGCCTCCCAAGTGCTGGGATTACAGGTGTACGCCACCACGCCCAGCTACAAAATTACTTTTTAAAAAGATGAACCATATGAGATTTGTCATGCCTGTGGGTCAAAAATGGTCATGTATTAGCAAGTCTTTTTTCATCTAGTAGTTTTACATAGGAAACATGACTTTGCAAAGTAATCTACAGTTTTCTATCTAAATTCTAATGATACTTAAGTTTCATTTACTGTTGTTGTCACACTATCCCTAAGAAAACCTTACAATACTAAATTTGACTATGATGGGTTTTACTTTCGTCATTCATTCCTCACATAGTTTTCAAGCAGTATTCATCAGTTACAAAAAAAAATACTTAGCTTTAAACTCGCTTTTTCCTATCTTTATCACTTATAGTTTATTTTCTCCTATAAATTTCGGCATCATATAATAATTGCTGTGGCCTAAATGTTCTCACAGAAACTCAATTCTAGCGAAATCCATGTTAGGCTAAAATTCGATCTGAGTTGGTTATTTTTTATTCCATACCCAGGACAGACTATATCCCTTCTGTAGGTTGTTTCAGAAATGGGGCTGCACTCACAGTAAGTCGTGAGTGAGAAAATATGTTGAGTGTTAAGTTTATCAACACTGCTTAAAGAAATAGTAATAATTCAAACCACATATAGCTTTCACAGCCAACTGACAGTGTTAGCTAATGATATGGATAACCTCAGTTTAATAAGTGCTATCACTTTTAATATATCAAGTGCTACTTAAGGTCTGACACTTCGTCTTTCTGAATAGGACAGGGTGTGTGCACACACTGAAACACATACTTCCGGAGTTCTCGCTGTTCTTCCCATTGCCTTTGTTTCCTTAGCTTCTTCATACGTCGTTTAGATACTGGCTCAATCCCTTCATTCACTCTTGGTTTCTGTTTCTCCTCTGGATCTTCACTTAAATCTTGCTTTCTTTCAGCACCAGAAGTCTCATTAAAATCCGGTAACATTTCAGATGACATTGTTGGGTATCTACGGAAAAACTGAAAAGCAATTTTTGATATAAACAGATAATTTACAAACATATAATATAAAAAGACAGAAATGACCAACAGATGTGATTAATGGAGAACTACATCATTAATAAATATAAATGTTAGTTAAAATAATGCCATTTGTTGCCAAATATCATCTTAATATCATTTAATACCAATGAAATATCATTCATTGGCGATGATGGTAAAGGTCTGAGGAAACAGGATTTTTCATATACTACTGGTGATCATCATACAATTTTTTTGTTTCAAACATTTTAAAATAGGATTTTAAAACATTGACCAATTTTCTTAGAATTCCTATGAATCAACAATTTACATGAAAAATGCACCAGAATATATACACTGTAATGTTATTTTTAGCAATGAAAAGTTAGAAACTACTTCAATGTCAGCAAAAGCAGAGCAATTATGGTTCATCTGTAACAGGCCCCCAAAATACTAAGCAACCAGTGAAAATCATATTTCCAAAATTAATAAGGGAAATAGTTATATTTGAATAAATATATTCATTACTTCAATTATTTAAGAGCAAAATATCCATTGCACCAATTATTTAAAAGGTATACACACAGACATGTTTAATTCTTACTCATGGTTTGCTTCATTTTGTTTTATATAATGAAAACATACTGTTTTTGTAGAAGAAAAAAATTGTTTTAAAAAAAGAGAAGGAAGCTGGTCATGGTGGCACACACCTGTAATATGAGCTACTTGAGAGACTAAGCCAGAGGATTGCAAGTTTGAGGCAAGCCTGGATAATTTAGCAAGACTATCTCAAAGTAGAAAGAAAGAGAAGGACTAATGATGTTGCACCTCAGAAGTGGAGCACTTGCCTAGTAGAGGCACAGCCATAGGTGGGAAACAAAATGAAACAAGAGCGGTGGAAAAGCACCTTTTCTGTAATTTTTAATGCATCAGAATGAGGGAAGAAAGACTATTTCGTTACCTGTTTGCACACTAACAATAGGCTTTTAATAAAAGATGCTATGGGATTATAGACTTTGGATAGTGCAGACAACAAATTTTGTTTTCCCCTCTAGTAGATTTCATTGTAAATATATACATATTCCATTTAAGTCATGACTGAAAAATGAAACATGAGAGTTGATTCTGTAATCTGGCTTTGTAGAATACTTAAGATCATCTGAAATGTATCTGCTTTTGAATTTAACCACACACATCTTCAAGCCTACTGACTAAAACTGAACTTTGTCTTCAGATTAGAGAAAGACTAGAAATACTGAGTTTCTTTTCTCTTTAATAAATGATTTATATCAAAGCTTAAAAATATTTGTTATTTATTCCTACAAAAGACCAAGCATGATGCTATTAAATGTTTACTGGCCTTAAGAAAAATTCTTTGAGTCTTCCTTACTATAGAATTGGCTAATAAATCTGTATACAGAAGCTACTAATAAAAGGAAAAAAAAAATCTCAAAATGTAAGTAATGAGCAGACAAAACCTTTACCGAATAGAATTTAAGCAGTAGTTTTATTATATGGTTCTTACTTTCCTTAAAAGGGCAATGTTGCAATGTGTCAGTACTAATACAGTGGCTCATATTTAGTTTAATGCTTATTATATATTGGCAAAATATTAAATGAGTAAAATGGCAATACAAAATATTTTTAAAGAAATGCAATTTACTAATTCATATTGTGCTTAATAAAGAATGTATTATCTATTTTAATCTTTAAAACCCTAAGAAGTTGAAAGCATTGAGCACAGTTTAAAAAGGATAAAGAGTGAGGCTAAATAAATTATCCAGAATTACAAAGATACCAAATAATTCCTAAGAAACAAATCTACCTCAAACAAATCTGGCACAAAGTACACACTCAAAACAGTTGGTTAAAAAATATATGAATGAAGTAATAGAATTAGGATTCAAACCTAGATCCAACTCTACTAACTTCCAGGAAGAAACCCTTATTTATTTATTTAGGTACCGGGGGTCGAAATTGGGACTTCGTGATTGCGGGGCAGGTGACAGCACCAGAGCTAAATCCCGGCCCTACAAACCCTTATTTTAAAACAATAGCCTCGAGGAGCCTCCAAGAGCTGCTTCAACCCTGATGAAAGAGGGCTCTGAGATCTGTGCCACTGAAGCATAAGAAAAAATAGCTCCAGTTCTATTCCTATGTTCCTGAATTAATTTTTTAAAGCTAGAAAATAAGGTTAGCCTTCAATTTAAGAAATTGGAGGCAGGAAAAACACCTTAGCAAGTTCAGAAGGAAGAAAATTGTATAATATATATATAGTGATGCCTAGAATCAATTTTATTTTACTTTCTCTCCATACATGGTATATTAAATAAAATTCAGCAATGCATCCAAAACAGTACAGGGTGGAGAAAACACATGGCCCATTGAATTTAAAACAAAACTAAGATTCACGGGGGAAAGTGCTATTTTTATTATTTCAAGAGAGCACATTTCTCTTCATAAGCAGCAACATTTTCGGCTAGTTCAAAAACTCCAAGTGTCGATTAGCTCTATGCTAAGAATTTAAAAAGCAAAGCAGTATTTTACAACTCGTGTACACCAGGGGGCGCACTTGCCTTTCTGGTCTAAGAAATGAATTAAATTTAACTTGACCTATCACAGCACGGTAGTGTTTTTTTAACTATCAAGGAGTACAGGGAAAGAACATGGTAGTTATTTTTTTAAACTATTCTGAATTAAGAAAATGAGGTGCACTAAGCGAATTTTCTAAACTTTAAATAAACCAGTCGTTGAAGCCAAAGTGGAAAGCATCAAAAATACATGTTTGATATAAATTACTGTGCACAGTATACTTTACAGACATTACCATCCCCAACGGTCTATGCTATAAATAATTCATGACACTTCATTACCTGTCACACAAAAAACTGCACTTAACTCTGTATGCTTGCTTTCTAATTATTTTAGTTGGGATCATAATTCAGTCTATGCAGTTTTGTCTTTCTCTCTGATATGAATGTTGTCACAGTACATTTTCATTCATTGGGCCAAATTCGACAAATATTGAATAACGTATTTTACAGTTATATTTGTGTGGAATTTTGCTCAAATATGAAATTAAACCAGGGGCGGGCTCATTCTCAGATAAAGGTTATCATTATGAGATACAGGCTTATGAAACTCAGAACTGGATAAAGATACTAAGGTCACTTTTGTGTGAATGAGACGAAGAGGTAGGTCAGCCTCTCAAATTCCTTGTACGTATTTGTTTTTCACTAAGACAGGGAGGGCACCTCCTAAATCAGGGAAGGCCAGAAAAAGCAGGAAAAAAAAAAAAAAAAAATG